TAAGTATTTATTTAATACGTAAATAATGTAAAACTAGCAAATTTAAGTTAAGCTAATAGAATCTAATATACATGATATAACTTTCTTAAGTTTATTAAATAGTTTAGAAATACAGTCAACTCTTGATATAGCGAATTTTTGATATAACAAATTTTTTGAACAAATATAATAAAAATACTCTTGTTATAGCAAATTAGCCAATCAAATCTCTTAAAATCTTTACTATAACCTTATAGCAAAGTTGAGATCTAAGACATAGAGTTCATTATAATAAGAGTTAACTGTACAATTAACTCTTGATATAGCAAACTCTTGATATAATAATTTTTTAAACAAATATAATAAAAAAATACTCTTGTTATAGTGAATTGACCAATCAAATCTCTTAAAATCTTCACTATAGTTTTATAGTGAAGTTGATGTCTAGGATATAGAGTTTATTATAATAAAAGTTAACTGTAAAGTAATATAATTAAAACTTCTTTATGTAATATATATATATAATAAATAAATTTAGTTTTAATGTTAAATTTTAAATTAATATTTATTACAATAAAGAAACTATTATAAAATAATATGAAATGTTATAATTGAAATTGATTAAATAAACTGAAAATTATTATATAATTAAGTTTTATGAAATTATAAATAATATGAAAATAATTGGCATAAATTTTAGTAGTTGCTTAATTATTTGATATAATTAAGCTATTTATAATATAATCTTAATATGATAGTTACACATTTTTTAATTATATAAATTATAATATAATAATAATAATAATAATCTTATCCCTTAAATTGTAAAGGTTTACAAGCAAATTTGCCTGCTTATTTACTATAAATTCACTTCTGATTTACTTTTATGAAAAATTAAAATTTTTTAAATTAATTTTATAAATATGTATTATATTATAAATTTTATTTTTAATTATATAATAAATAATTTACAGTTACTTATAAACTAAAAATTTGTAATTTTTAAAAAAATTATAAATTAATAAATTTTATTATTAACCTTTAACAATCTTATTAACATTTACTTTTAGTAATATTAATCATAATAGAATATTATAAAATTTATCATAAAGAATAACTTTGATTATTATAATTTACTAAGAAATTTTATGACTTTTATTAGTAGTAAAGTGATTTAATTAGTTTGCAAACATATTAATTTTAAAAAATTATTTTAATAAATTTTTTAAGACTTAAATTTAAAAATTAAATTATTTAAAAATATCTTATAAACTTAAAATTTTTTCTAATAAAATTAATAAAATATATTAAATTATATTTTTCATATTACTAAAATTAATATTTAATATTTTATTAAAAAAAAATAACACATTTTTTTAAGTTTGCAGGCAAATTTGGCTGCTAGATAATCTAAGAAATAAAAGTTCTTTCCTTAAAATTTTCATTAATAATAAAAAACTTTTATTTTAAAATAATAATGCAAAAATCGTAAACTATAAAATTTTAGGACAACAAATTAGATTAAAACTTTAAAAATCATGTGAAGTAATAAATAATAAAAAAGATTTATTAAGCTTATCAGTATTCCTTTTTGAATATTATAATTCATTTTCAGATTTTATTATAATATTTTGAATATATATTAATAGAGATCTTTAAATAAAATTTTACTATAAACAATAAACAAAGAAAACATTGAGAGCAACTTATAAGATCTTTGAATAATGATGCAATTATTAAAATAATTACTTTTTTATTTCTGTTCTTATTGGTATAATTTTATTTTATATAGCATTTATTTAACTAATATACTTAACAGTTTAGCACATAAATCAAAATTATTATTATTATTTAATTGCCTTTTTATTGTATAATATATAATTAGATATAGTGAATATCGATAATAAAATTAAGAAAAAAATAAATTAGTAAAACTATTCTCACATAAAATTCATACAAAATGTTAATTTATAGAATTCTACAATTATAGATATATTGACTTTAAATGAAAATATTTTTTTTAAAAATATATATGATACTACTCAAAATTATTTACATATAATCTTAAGAATAGCATTTTAATTTAAAATTTTTGATCATCTGATAATCTATTATGAAGAAATTATTACATAAAAGATAATATGAGGCCTTTGCAATAGAAAGGAAGGAAACTCCAAAAAAATTAAAATTTTAGTTTATAAGCCAAAAATGTTTCAAATACTATAATTTGTTCAGATTTATTATTAACTCATTTTTTATTTTTTTTTGAGTTTCCTCCCTTTCTATTGCAAAGGCCCCATATGGTGGTATCCAGATTATATGGTGGTATTTAGATCATATAGTGATACCTAGATTATATGGTGATAATATAATCTAAGGCAAATGGGATACCACTATGTAATATAATTATATTACATGGTGGTATCCTACTTCTGTAGTTTTTCTTATTTTTTTCTTTTTATTTTTTTTCTTATTTTTTGAATAGATTCTTGCTCGCTATCAGATTCTTCATCACTAATATCATCATTATTATCTTCAAGTATCTTTGGATTAAAGTGTGAATTGGCATTATCAATAAGAAGTAAAATCTTTCGATCTATTTTGTGAAAGTAATAATCAAGATGCTTAACCCATTCAACAAATATGTCAGATCTCATCTATGCCTTTGAGTTAGCTTGATAAATAACAGAAAGAGTTGATTTGTTAATATTTTTAAAACACCGGAGGTTAAGAGATTTTCCAATTACAAGGGGACGTAATTTATGAGAACCCGTAGTATTGATACAAAAAAAACAGAAAGCCGATTTTTGTCTTACAAGTATAAAAAAAACATAATTTGTATTTATTAAATTAATAAATTTAATACTGACTACGGTATTTACATTATTTTACATACTTTTTTACGTTCAGCTACTGTGTCTGTATTAAGTGTTTGATTTAGTTCTATTCGAAAAAAAAGACCAGTTTCATCTGCATTATAAATATCTTCTTTATTATATGAAGATAAAAGTGTGTGTAAACATAATCGTTCTTCTGAAAGAGTGGCAAGCAGTACATTATTGGCTTCTCCTGAAAAATGAACTTTTTGCAGTCTATTTTATTGTTTAAATCTCCACATCCAACCATTAGTGAATTTTAACTGATCTTCTTCAATATTTAACATTTGTACAAGTTCTATTTCTTTTTGCTGTAATATTATATCAGATAAAGGAAGTTCTGCAGCTACTGCTTGTGAAATTCAAATTTGCAAAGCTTTATCAAGCTCTGAAAATTGAGTAGAACAGTTTCAAAATATATGTAGAGTTTATAAATTTAAAAGAACTGCTAACCATTTTTTACGATTCTGCCATATTTTTGTAACAGTTGTCCAATCAATATTTAGTTTACCGCTATGTTTTTCATTAAAATATGCAATAGCATTTTGTTTTATGTTAGAATTTGTCAATATATATTCGCATACTTCTTTTTTACATCAATACTAATGGAAGAGCGAGTTTTTTTTTGTTTCTGTAAATGTATAGGTGCTATTATATTAGAGATTCTTTAATTAATATAAAGAAAGAAGAAGTAAATTTTTATAAACGAAAAAAAATTTATTAATTTATAACGTATAGAAAAAGAGATTGTAAATAATCAAAAATGTGATATTTATAAAGATTTTTCTGATAAAATGCCTTAATTGCATAATTACTAACCTAAAGTAGAAAAGTCATTGTTAAAACGCACGTAATATATTCTGAATATGCATATTAAAATGCATGTAACATTTTTTGAAAATGCAATTGTATTGCATGATATTGTGTGACTATATAAGGGAAATTTACATATATTAACTAATAATATTGGCTCAACAATTAGTGTGATGGTGATTATAATTAAAATGTGCTTGTAAAGAGAATATTTTATATTTAAAAAGTCAGGACTGAATAATAGTGTGCTTTAAAGGAGGGAGTGCTTATATAGGGGGTGACTATAGAGAGGGTCAACTTATATTAATCGTGTAAATTAAATTTTAATAGTTTTTAATGATCGATCTTATGGGCTTTTTAAGAAGCATTGCTTATAATATTTGATATAATATAATATTTAATAGCATATTTATAAAATTTGAAACTAATTATCTAACATAATTTGTTTTAAGTTTTTAATATATAATTTCATGCCTTAATTTCTGTAATACATTTAATTTATTTAAATTAATAAAAATTTCTAATAAATTTTTAAATAATATAACAAAACTATTTAAATGATTTAAAATTTTTATTATTGAATTATCATCAAAAGCTTATTAATTGGATTTACTTCAAGTTTGTCATTATTTGGTCTTACTATAGATATAATTTCATTATTAATTAATCTTTTATTATTTTTAAATAGTCATTAATATGAATAAATATATCAAAATTCATAAGATTATCAAAAGGTAAGATATTAATTAAATTATGTAATTCCACTTTATCTTGGATTTGATTTTCTTTATCAATTTTATTTATTTTATTTTGTGAAAAAATTTCTATATATTTTTAATAATTAATAATTATTTATTAACTTACTGAATCTTAAGCATTTTTACTGAAATTAATAGCATTATTAATATTTAAAAGGATTATTTCTTTGTTTAATTCTTGTAAAATTTTATATACTTTAATTATATTTTTAACAAGTTATTTTCAATAATAATTTGTTAAATTAATATTATAATATAAGAAAACAAAAGCATAAAATCAATCTCTAAAATTATTTTTTTTGGAAAAGAAAAAAAAAAATATTAACTAAATTAGAAAATACAATAAATTTTTTTAAAAAAGTTATAATTTTAAAAGAATTAATTATTTTTGCATTATAAGATTATAAATAAAATATAATATTTAGTAATAAAAAATGTAAAGTTATATTTATTAAATCATTATATTAATAATAATATATATAGAAGCATTATCTGCTAATAAAGAATTTTATAATTCTGTAATTATATCTATGCATTTAACTTTAAGAAATTTATTTCATATAGAAATTTGCATTTATACAGTTGAATTCTAGTAATAATTAATTGATAATTTTTTTTTTTTTTAATACATATGAATTCTGATAAGCGTAAATAATAAGTAATTTGATTTTTCTATTTTACTTATATTATATTTAAAAATATTGTAATTTTTTTTTGATTATTTTTTCAAAACATAGCTCTCTTATTAATATTTTTGATGGTTCAAGATCTATAAATCTAAAAATAAAAAAATTATATAATTCAATCATTAATAAAGAAATTAATAATATTTATCTGTTTTATTATAATTAATAATATTATTAAAATCATAATTCTTAATAATTTTATATAATTTTACCTTTTTTCTTCTAAATTCTTTATTGGAGTACTTGTTACTTTATCTTATTTAGTATATTTTTTTATATTATTATATTTTTTAAAATTAGAAACCTATCTATTAAAAATTACAAAATTATTAATTTTTAAACTTTTAACAAAAAATTCTACCTTTTTACATAAAATTTCTGTATTAATAGTAAGTTCTATATTAAATGCATTTGTAACATATAATATCATAATCTCTTCTACTTGTAAAAATTGTATAGGTCTATTCCTTTGCTTTTTGCCTTCTTCTAAGTCTATATCAATAAATAACTCTTATCTTTATTTTTTAAAATATCAGAAATAGTATTTTGTTTAATATTATATTAAATAGCTAGCTGTTCTTAGATTAGTTATGATTTATTTTTGAAAATCTATATAAAGTTAGTGTTTTTATACTTTTATTAAAGTAACATTCATTTTTGTTAAAAAAAACTTAAATAGCTTTTCTTTTTTCAGACATTATCACAATAATTTTATATATTAACCTAACTTTAAATATATAGTTAGTATATTAATATATAAATCAGATTTTTTAATATATTACTATATAGAGAATAAAGGAATAATATTAGTATATATTATATCATAAAATAATATAAAATATTAGTATATTAAGATTTATTATTAATAATGCAATAAGACAAATTTTTTTATTGATATAAGCAAATATTGATATATATTATATTGATATGGAAGGCAGTCAATAGAAAAGGGGAAAATCTACAAATTTTGAGTAATTTTATTTATTAAGCTAGTTTTGTTCACATGATCATGCTCGGCAGAGTGAATCAATAAAAAAAATTTTAACTATAAAGTAGATTTCCTTCTTTTCTATTGACCGCTTCCCATATATCAAGGTTTAACTATAATAACTTCTCTTTTCTTTCTAAATAGTAATACTCTTTATGATCTCTGATATTAAAAACTATAAAAATCTTATATAATATTTTTAAAATTGAATGACTATATAATTTAGATTTTATTTTATATAAGAAGTTAATTGTAATCTAAATAATAGATATTTTAATATAGAAGTAATAGTTTAAAATACCTTTATTAAAATTTAATAATTTATGTTTACTTATATTAAATTATAAATATATTTTATTAACTAGGTATTTTAATTTGAAAATAAATAAAATTAATTTTATTTTTTAAGAAAATTTAAATGTATTTTTTTAGTTAATAAATAAAACCTTTTGTAAAAAAAAATAAATATTATAGAATTAATATTTTTTTTTAATAAAATTAGTAGTATATTTAATAAGTTTATTAATAAAAAGTTGATTTAAATAAGTTTGATAATTAATTATAAAAGTAGTTAGTATTTTACAATAGTTAAACTTAAAAATAATTATATATAATAGCTTTTACTACAAAATTAGAGTTATTATTAGAATTATAACTTCTGTAATTAATAAATAAGCATATAAATAACTAAATTATTTCATAGTTTATGATAAAAAATAACAATTAAATAGATTATGTTTTACTGATAATAAAAAACTTTCTTAGTAATCATTTTATTTTTTTACAAATTTTTTTTTTATTCTAAACTTTTAAAATAAATCAAATAATAAAATATAATTAGTATTTACCTTAAGCTTCCATTTACAATCTAAAATATCTAAAAATATTGAAATTTAAAAAATAATTTTATTTTATCAAAATAAGAAAATACTGAAAAATTGATTTGATATTTAAAAACTTTAGAGAAAATATTATACAGAAGGTAAACAAAAGTATTTGCACACTTTTATAAATATGAATTAATGCTAGTAAAATCATATGATCACAATAACAAATTACGTTTATATGATACTTAAGTATTTACTTATATTATAAAAATAAAAGAATAACAAATTTATTTTTCTTTTAATAAATTTTTCTTCTTCAAAAATTTAAAAAAATGGTAAAAAACCAAAGAATTAACTGTAATGATTTTTCAAACAAAAATTAATCTTTATATTACTGGTTAAAGAACGTTAAATAGAAGGCAAATAGGGTAGAATTTAACAACCCATATTATCCTACTATCCTTTTATTTTTTTCAATCAGGAGATCCCGATTGATGATAAAAATTAGCTTCAAAAGAAGAATAATAGGGTATTAATCAGTGAATCCAAATGATGTCAATCAGATATATAATTTGATATCAATCAGATATATGAATGATTTAAAACTAATTGGATATCAATATTCTAATTGTTAACATTTAACTTGAATTTTATGTCAGAAATAGTATAAATTGGTATACCAATTGATTTATTAAAAATTCAATCTCTTGCTACCAGACTATTATTGTTCTTCGCTTTGCTGCCTTCACTAATATTAATAATTGTGATTATTTCAATTACTACTACTACTATTATCAATACTACTACTATCATTATATCCACTACTATTTCCATCACCCCTATTATTATAATCGCTTCTATCATCTGAACTTTCCTCTTCATTATTATTTTTACCCTCTCTACTCCCTCATCATTTTCTTGCTCATTGTTATCTTGCATCCTGTTAATACTTTTTTTAACTAATAACTTTAAGAATCCATTATAGCCAGCTATACTCCAACTAAGAGTATTTACGAAAGCTTTTTCTTCAGTAGAAGCAAATTATGTATGTCGTATACTCATTTTTTTGTTCAGTTAGAGAATGTTATATTTTAAAACTTATTTACATAGTTTTGTAAAAATTTTCATAACTAAAAAGTAAGAACTCAAATTAAGTGAATGGAATTGAGATAAAATAATACAATTAAAACTTACTGTTATGAAGCGTCACTTAAGGTCCCTAATAGTAACCTTTCATTTATTAGGGTCTAATGATAAGGAATGAAACCCCTTAATAACAGTTGAAACTTAGACGAAACTATATTAAAATCATAATAAGAGATACGACGAAACCCTTTCGATACGATGAAAGCTGAAACTGTCAAAACTATATTAAAAATATAAAAAAGAATATGACGAAATTATTTTGAGAAAATTTCGACAGGTATCTATATTAGGGTCATCATTATCAGTTTCTGAAACTTTCAGGTTATGATAACGATTGTCATCCTAGATAGGCAGAAGTTTGTTTTTACAAAACT